CATTCTAGAAAATCGTGTGCTTCCAGAGACTTTGTGGCAATGCTTTGTGGAAGGCCCTTTCCTATTTTAGCACGAAAATGCCATCCATGCACATAAAGGTCCATAAACAAATCATTTGCAGAGTTTGTTGTGAAAGAACACCATCATACACCTCTGGGATGAAACTGTGAGCCATCTCATCACCCAATATCAGTGCCCAGATTCATTAATGGAAGCGAATGGAAGCAAATCTTTGCAGCCATCTAACAAAATGGGCAACCAAGACTATAATACTACCCATGAGATGTTCACCAAGCAGATATGAATGAGATGTTCAGGTGTTTACATGCTTCTGTGGCGTACATCCAACAGGAGATAAAACAAAACTCAACATGCTCAGTATAGCAAGTTGTTGATAGAATGAGTGCTTACTGTACATTGCAAAAAGGAAATGTGTACATTGACTTGATGGCCTTCAAACCCAAACATACAAGAAAAGGTCCAGAAATGGAAAGCTAGCTGAGGCCATGAAACAGTAGCAGACAAAACTAGTGCACTTCCAGACATGCTAGTTGATGCAAGGAAATATAACAATGCCAAGAATGGAACAGCTGCCAGCCCTGAATGGGTAGGAATGGGGACAGTATGCATGAAAGAGTTTAGATGGCTTTAGTTGATGAACTCTCAGTCAACATAAACACTGGAGCATCAGCACACCCTTCCTTCTATACTGGAAATAGACATATCATAAGCCAGTTTAACATGAACTGACTTTAGAAGCAGCTTATGGCATGAACAGAAAACTGCCTCTCTGGAGGATGTGTTGATTTATTTTCACTTGTAAAATAAAAAAAAACATCTAATTTGACCATGGCTGTTCAAGTTAGTGCATATGTCTGTATATTATGACATTAATAATAAAACCTTATGTCTTTAAAAAAGATCTTTGCAGGAAAAGTAAGTTAATGTAGCAATGTAAATGGTAGCTGGGAGAAAATCTAGGCACAAGGTTTTTGATGGGTGAATGGTGTCAGGCCAGCATTCAAGCATGTGGAAAAAACAGCTCCAAAACATCTCTGCTGATTTACCTCAATGCAGGGCATTTGCCTTGTGCCAAGTGAATTTGTTAATTTAGTGAAGTAGGCCTGTTAGAATTATTTATCAAAAACTGTAACCATATTTCAATTATTAATATATGTATATTAATATACATGTAAACATTAATAAGATACATATATTAATATGTATCTTCAAAAAGTCAACTATTAATAATGTATATGTACATAAAGCATGTTCAAGCAGTAACCATGTTGCATGTTTGCTAAGTCATTCTTTGTTCTTATAGCGTTTATAGAGGTATCATTTTCTCTACTTGCACATGGGACATGCACAGACTGTCCACAGCGTTTGGACTTTCCTTCTCCACACATTTCTCTGTGTAGCTGCACAAGATGTCAATGGGTTTTAAATTGTGCCTGAATGTCACTTAATGAACCTGGTGGCATCTTGCAGTGTCTTGTTGAAATATCTACCATTTGCTGTGGATTTCCTCCTTTAAGTGAACACACAGGATAAACACATTAAAACAGTTGCTATACATCAGTGTGCGACATGCATGCATGTGAGTGTAAAAATCTGTAAAAATTTAAAACTTAATCCTAATAAAAATATGAGAGATGGAAGACCTGTAGAATTTAATAAAAACCATGAACCACCCCCTCCCAACAAAAAAAAAATCCCACCAACACTTTCCACTTTTCTCTGAGCTCTTCACTTTCATTATGAATTTATTTGCACAGTCAGCTAATACAGATATTGATTATTGATTAATCACAAACTGAATCGTGCGCTATTGTATTTTGAATTTTCTATTGTATATTTACACCATTTAGGTTCTGGCTGATTTTGGTACCATTTGGTAGGCTTTCTAAATGTCATCATGTAAAATCAGTGCCCTTGATTTGATCAATAACACAGGACTGTGTAATCTGAATGCATAGATGAGTCCAGACTTTTGTGAAACAAAAATTATTTTAAGAATCTAAAAACTCTGAGACATTTACATTCCAGGTGGTAAGACTGCAGCAAAAGCAAAAAATCCACCCCTGATACAAAACAATAGCCATCACCCAGAATGCTGGATTCCCATAAATACAACCAACACTGCAGCACCTTAGTCATAAATCGTGTGTCCGATCACCACACAACTTCTACGCAGAGCAGCCAAAGTTAAAATTAGACAGTTGAGATGCACAATAATGAGAAAAAAACAGCACCACAAACTTTAAAACATAAACCTAATTATCAAGGTAAAAGCATATTGCCACAGTGGGCATGACACATGTTTATGGTCCATTTATGTCTTACCTGCACCGTTAGATGTTTGCTTTCACATTTTCACAAAGCCCATGCCAGCATTTGTAGTAAAAAGTTTGCAGTAAATGATGATGATGGTGTTGTTTTACATTTGTTTTCGGCTTTGAATGGGTAGAAAACAGCGTACTTTAAGGGACAGATATGCTCAACGTCCCCAGTTACATCTTTTTTATCCACAGCTGGAGTTTCAAATTCAAAAACTGGTGCATGATAACAAACTGAAGACTTTATACAAGTGTAATAAACTCTGTAGAGCACAGCTTGCTGTGTCAGCCAGTACCAGAGTGGATGATATTGTGGCCGGATTCACCCACTTGCGCTGAATTTGATTCGTTAATCTCCCAAGGCTAATGTTAGCTTCTTATTCGAATTTCTGTTCCACCTTAAATAGTGCAGCAGTTGCACACTAGAAACAAACAGGTGTCTAAATATAATTGGTAGATTATTTAGGTTGAAAAAAAAAAAGTTGGGACACTGTGCAAAATGTAAATAAAATGAGAATGCAATGATGTGCAAATCATTTAAACCCTATTATTTAATTGACAATAGTACACAGACAACATACCAAATGTTGAAACTGAGAACTTTCATTGTTTTTTGTAAAATATATGCCTATTTTGAATTTGAAGTCAGCAACACGTTCCAAAACGTTGGGATGGGGGCAACAAAAGACTGGTAAGTTGTGTAATGCTAAAAAAAACACCTGGTGGTTACTTGGCAGCAGGTCAGTAACATGACTGGGCATAAAAGAGCATCCCAGAGAGGCTGAGTCTTTCAGAAGTAAAGATGAGGAGGGGTTCACCACTCTGTGAAAGACTGCCCGATCAAACAATTCAAGGATAATGAACAATTCAAGGATAACGCTTCTCAATCTAAAATACCAAAGAACTTGGGGGTTCCATCATCTACAGTACATAATATCATTAAAAGAATCAGAGAATCTGGAGAAATCTCTGTTTGCAAGGGACAAAGCCAAAAACTAGTATTGGCTGGCCATGATCTTTGGGCCCTCAGGTGGCACTGCATTAAAAACAGACATGATTCTGTAGTGGAAATCACTGCATGGGCTCAGGATCACTTCTGCAAACCACTGTGAACAAGTATGCTTGTTTCAGCAAGACAATGTCAAACCACATTCTGCATGTATTACAACAGCATGGCTCTGTAGTCAAAGTATCCGGGTGTTAAACTGGCCTGCCTGCAGTCCAGACTTGTCACCACAGAAAACATCTGGTGCATTATGAAAAGAAAAACATGACAAAGGAGACCCTACACTGTTGATCCTATATGAAATCCTCAAATCCTATATCAAGCAAGAATGGGAAAACATTTCACTTTCAAAACTACAGCAACTGGCCTCTTCAGTTCCCAAACGCTTGCAGAGTGTTGTTAAAAGAAGAGGTGCTGAAACACAGTGGTAAACATGCCCCCTCCCAACTTTTTTGTAATGTGTTGTTGGCTAATTCAAAATGGGCATATATTTTTTTAAAAAACTTTCTCAGTTTCAACATTTGATATGTTGTCTTTGTACTATTTTCAACTAAGTATAGGTTTTAAATGATCTGCACATCATTGAATTTTGTTTTTATTTACATTTTGCACAGCATCCCAACTTTCTTGGAAACTGGGTTGAATTTTCTCTTATTATATATTTAGTTTATTTTATTTGTTCTGTGTATGATAAGTGTTTGAAAACGAATGTTTAAGAAGCTGTTATGGTCAGAGCCTACACTCTTAAAAAAGATGGTTCTTCAAGGTTTCTTTAGTAAAAAACAGTTCTACATAAAACCATGAACACTCAAAGAACCTTTTGCATGATTAAATGAAATAGTTCTTTACCTCATGAAAGTGTTCTTCAGATGGAAAATGTGCTATATATGGTCCTATACAGAACCTTTTTGAAAAGCATTCTATATTGTTAGCTTGACATCATCACAATAGAAGAACCCTTTTGGGTGCTACATAGAACCCCTTAAGTGTGTATTTCATATCTCACTCATCGTGTCCTACATTCTCAAAAAAGATGGTTCTTCAAGGGTTCTTTATTAAAGAAAATGGTTCTATATAGAACCATGAGTTTCCTATTTTTACAATATCTAGCTTGTAACAATAGAAGAACCCTTGTTGGTGCTATATAGGACCTTTTTAAAAGGGTCTTTATAGAACCATATATAACACTCTTTTGGGTGCTATATAGAACCCTGAAAAAGGTTCTGTATAGAACCACTGTCTTTACTAAAGAAGCCTTGAAGGACCATCTTTTTTTAAATCTGTAGAAAGCCAACAGGTTCTTGACAAGCACTAATTTTCATCCTTTGTGTACCAAGTGATGTCATCCGATATGATCACGTGATGTGTTATTGGTGTTTTGATTGGCTGTTTCATTAAACTTGTTCCACGAAGTTGAGACGCTTGCAACTGTTACGACTGTTTTGAATGAGTTAAATGAGGATGCTGTACATCACGCAACTCCACATGTAGGTTTCAAGCAACTAAAGCTGCATGAATGTTTCACGTGCAAAGCCAGGCTTAAACAGGCAACGTGCTCCGGGTCCAGAGCCTGTGGAAGGACCATGCCAGGTTTTGGGAGTGTCCCGCCCACCCTGCTTTAGGAGCGGGGTGCAGGCGAAACTCTTCAGAGAGAATGGAGGGGGGTGTGCGTGTGTGAAAGTTGCATCCTTTGAATCGTGTGGCGGGACGTGAGCGAGCAGCCCGAGCGCATTAATTTACATTCGATCATCACCATGGAGAACACTGACTAGTTTATGGAGTAACAGCCAGTGTGAGGATTTTAAGTTCTGAATTTTTGAAAAATGCCTTTTTGTAAGCGCACCGTGGCGCCTCAGCGCCTGTGCAGGTTGACAAAGGAGCCGTTGAGATGTGCTGAGTTTGGAGGACCGGACTGCTGCAGCGCTTTAAACTCGGATTCATGGGCATCTCTGAGCGATGTCAGCTGCACAGCTCTGAAGAACGTCCTCCTCCAGCTGTCCGACCTGTCTCGACACGCGTGCAACGTCTTTCTGGAAATCCAGAGCGAGGCCAGTTCGGTGGTGTATCGGTCTGCAGCGCTGCAGCAGCGACTGGACACTTTGCAGTACGCGGTCCGAAAACTGGACCCCAAGAAGATAACGATCCGTAAGTGGTGAATTCTGCATTGATCCACAGCAGCAGGCTCAGTCCTACATGACTGAGCGGTGCATGCTGGACTGTTAGCAACAAGTGGGATTGTTTATATTCTGTTCTTATCCATTGAAGTCAGTTAAGGGATGCAGGATATAGGAGGTCTATACTGTCTCTGGATTCTTTGTCTTTAGGTGCATTTTGTCCTCAGCTGACAAGCTTACCTAAAATTTCTATAATCAGGTACAATACTTACATACATCATATCATTCTAAAAATCAAGGTTCCTACATGGTTCTTGGTTTAGATGTGTGGTTCTTTTACATTATGTAGACATTATGTACATTATGTAGAGGTTCTTTTTAAACTTTAAAAGGCTCTTCACACCGATCTTTAATGAACCATGTACTGAAAGGTTCTTGAGGGAACAAAAAGTCCTTCTTCAATTACTGTCACTTCATTTGTCACCAACCAGTGAAAGTCCTTGGCCCAAATATAAATGGTTTCCACAGTTTCCTTTCAATACATCATGAAGCCACTGTGTCATAATTGTAATGGGTTTATGGAGATAGTAAATTCCGCATTGATCTTCAGCAGCCGTGTTTATGTCCAGTTCTACATGACTGAACTGTGTATAGCAACAAGTGGGACTGTTTATGTGACCCGCGTGTGCAGCATCTTATGGTCCACAATGTGTAATAATCCTGTCTTATCCTCATATATGTTAGACTTTGATACATCACATTAAATGAAACTCATAAAACCCACTAGTGCATTTCCAGTGCTTTAAATCAACCAAAATTCTGTATAAATCACAGTATTTGCTCTTTATTAGGCTATACTGGCATTTTATATTCCTAAATGTAAAATCAGTTGCCTATTTAAAGAACATTAATTAAAAAAGGGCACTGAAATGAATAGGATATCAGGATCACAGTTATATAACCACTTTTAAGAGTGTGCAAAACCTTAAATTGGTGTAGAACCTTTATAATATGTGGAGGTTCTTTAAACTTTAAAAAGATTCTTCACACTCGCACGTCTTATTTACTAACGTAGTTCTTTAAAGAACATTCCACTAGAAAGTTAGGAAACTGAAAATGGGTCTTCTAGTATTGCTTCAAAGAGCCATTTTTTGTTTCCATTTAGCACCTTTGTTTTGGTTCTTTAGGTAACCACAAGTGTTTTTTCAATGATCACCACTTCATTTGGCACCTTTATTTTTAAGAGTGTACTAACTAATCAAGTCTCTTGTCCTGATTATAAAATGGATTCTTTGACTTTCCACAATTTCCTTTTGATGCAGCATGAAGTCATTGTCTTATAATTGGAATGGGTGGATAGATTGAGGGATAAATAGATTGATTTATTGATCACACGTCTGTAAACATGGCACTTGCAGGCATGAATAACTGGATGACAAACCGAGAAGCTATGAGGATGTTTAGAAGCTATAAAGAAATTGTACTCTGGGATACATTTTCCTCAGTTTGACAAGATGAGAATCAGGTTGAATTTGCCCTGCTAAGTGTTAATTAAGGGACATATGCTATTTAGAGAAAAAGCTTAGAAAAGTGTTTGCCTTAATGAAGATCTCTGCTATACCTACATCAAATGGCACTGTCCCATTAGAGGATGCCATTGTCTTCATGCACTCTTAACTTTTTTTTTTCCAAAAGAGGATGCCAGATGATTCCTTCCTATTCCTCTTGCGATCTTTCCTGCTTCGGTGGCTTCTCTGTTTACTGTTGCTTTCCTCAGCTATGTGTTCTTCCTTTCCTACGAAGGAGAACAAAAGGTTGAAGAGGATGGTGCTGGATAGAGGTTACTGGGTCAAGTCACGGGGCGACGACGACGACGATGATGATGATGTGCGTGTGTTTCCTGTTGAGTTGCACTGCTGTTCTGAGATCCGAATGAGATCTGTCCCCTCTGGCTCATGAACTTGTGAATGCTAATTGGATTTTGCTAATGTTGTACTTCACTTTTAATGTGCTTCACTTTTTCATAGAGCTCATCAAGGGCTGCTGACATACAGTAGATGAAATATGAGCGATAGCATTGTTATGAATCGCAGCAGGCAGTTTGATTTGAGATGCAGAAAAACACATGAGTGAACACCTGATATTTCCTTGCAACGAGTAACCCTTTTTCCAGAGAATGTGAAAGTTCTGCAGAGCTTGTTGCTAGAGGACATCTCAGTTTGGATATTGTGTTCTGAAAATACATTTCTGAAGCTAAAATCTGTGTGAACTTATGCTGGGTGGCACATTTATAATCACAAATGCTTGATTATGTGGCTGATGTAAACAGAACACATTAAATTGCAGGCCTTTTGCATAAATAACGTTTATATTGCATTCAGCCTTGAGTCAGCTTGTTTGGGGGTGAGGGGTAATGTTTGTATGACCTATTTGTGTAATGTTTATTTGTGTCATGCAAGACAATACAACAAATCAAGAATTCTGTCAAACTGAGGGATGAGGGATGCAATGCTGTGCCACAGAAAATTGAAATACATGAAAGATAACACACTAAATTTTAGCTTTAGGCCAGTATGCCTATTTAAGGTTTAAGTAAGGTTTGAGTGGTGGGAAGTACACTGGTATATGTGGATACTGTGTTGACATTCCATTATGTGGATTTGACCAGACTGTGGTACTATGATAAGCCCAAAAAATGCTAAACTGCGAACAGCTTCCCCAAGAGAAACATAAACTTAAATTAAAAGCTAGAATTGTTCATAGAATAAAAAGTGTAACATATGGTTTAAACATCTATATTTAGTGTTTGCACAGATATTCAGTTTGAATTCAGTTAAATTCACCTTTACTCATCCCACACAGGAATTCTAAGGCTAAAAAAACAAAGAAAACATAAGAAACATAAAAAATGCTGGGAATATTCTCTCATTTTTCATGCACTTTGTTGAACATACAGTATATAATGCATATAGCGTTACATTATGTTTTTAAAGTATAATCATATTATTATTGTCTGGACAGTGGAAAATATTGTGATAAAAGAAAATACAGTCCATATCACCCACCCCTGGTAAATATGATACTTTTGCTCTTTATAAAGGCAGAATATGCACTGCAAAAGACCCAAAATCTCTTTCCATTCCTAATTCCACCTTTCTCCCAGTAGTACTATAGTTCACACCCTGAACCATTTCCTTTTATTGCCTAGTTTTATTTTACTGTTCCTTATATATCTGCTGTTGTGCGTTGGCTGTCACTGCTCATTGCGGTGCTCTTAAAGAACACAAAGGCTGTTTTCACTGCTCTTGCCTGCAGTGTTGAGTAAGGTGAACGCAGGGCAGGAAGCAGACGATAAGTGAACACACGTGTACTCTAGACGCCCAGTGCCGATTCCATTAGTAAAATCAGGCCCAAGGAAAGAGGTGTCTGGTGCCTTGGGTAGGCTGGAATCAGCTGTACAGGGCAGAGTAGAGTTTATTTCTGTTGTAACACACCTGATTCAACTTGAATAATGAGCAGATGAGTTGATTCAGGTGTGTAAGAGCAGAATGCATTGTTGTGCCGTGGCCAACTAGCTCTAGAGTCTGACACCTTCTGTCAAGGGAGTCTCAAAACCACAAGTGAACTGGATTTTCATTTTTGTAAGTTAGCAAGCAAGTCAACCTTTATATAAGTGTCTGTGTTCAATCTGAACACATTTGATACTGTGTGACGTATCAATACCTGAGGTCTACTTTTTGCAACTTTTGTTATTATATGTTGAGATGTAAACAAAGTCATTCAGAGTAGTTTGTTATGAAATGCTTCATTCGAGAGAAACTTATCGAATCAGAATGGTTCACCGTGGTGGCGATAGGGACCAGACGTCTAAAGAGTTTAATGCCTCTAAAAGGTGCATCCCAGAAAGTTATTACATGAAGTGTTTGCAAATATGCTGCCTGATGTCTGAGATATTGTTTTACAGTAGTTTTGAGACCGGGTTTTGGCTTAAATTGTATTTTCTTAATCCACTCATGGTGGAGAGATACATGCAGGATGTTATAAAGCAACATAGTCCCCAAGAAAAATGTATTTTTTAAAGATTTACCTCTATTGTGCCATTACCAACATTCAGAGAAGATGTGTAGGCTCCCTGATTGTTTTGGATAGTAAATAAAATGGCTATATTTGTGTTATAAACATTGTCTTATCACCACTACTGTAAAGAAAAGTTTGCAAGTTTCACTGCAATGGAGCATTTCATATTAAGCCAGTCTGATTTACTTATATCTCAACAATTGAAATATACAGAAAATATGCAAAATTGGTCAAATTTCCCTGTAAGACTTTAATATAAAGGATAAAATGAGTGTATAAAACCGTAGATATTTTATCCAGTATAGTATTTCTGTTTTTAAGAGAAAGATGAGAGACATGGAATCATAGCCTGTTCGGCCTGCGCAGCACTGCTGTTCCTTGCTTGGAGCTACCTGTTATCTTCATTTCATTACTTGCGTTTCACCTCAGCTGACACAGAATAAAATCCAACAATGTGCTTCACTAATAACAGAGAATATAGCAAAGGCATGCAGGGTAGAGCAGTTGCTGTTGACTTAAGCTATTGAAACAGGGTCATCTCAGGGTTTGTTAGTATAAACAGCAGTTTGCTACAACTTGCACCACATTCTTGGTACTTTCAGCAGATATTCTCATCACATGACACATAGTCCTTCAGTCGTGTTTATGCCAACTATAATGTGATACCAAACTTACTGTTGAGGCTGAAAATCAACACACACGTGTACACACACACACACACACACACACACACACACACACAGCAAGACTGCTTGAAACCCAGCTGTTTTATTCTTTGTCTCTCCCTCCTCTCTGCAGAGCGCTGTTCTAGCTCATTCCTCAGCGATCGTCTGCAGGGAGAGAGCGCGTCAAAACCAGATGTGCCTCCAGCCCATTCTGAAGGCTTTCCCTGACACCACTTTTATTACAGCCAGATGCACGCATCCAGACGCACACACCCTCTTTCTTTTTCTC